TGATTCTCGGGAGCGGGCTCCTAATTCTCCCCACTTTCCATTGATAATACAAGCATTCGTGTGCCACACTGTGATAATTTCTGCTTGTAGAGCTGATGGGGATGGCGTATTTATAGCATCAAGTTCTTCGGGCGTAATACCCGAGGAGCCACCCCTTTTTTGCTATAACCTTGACGGTAGACATGTCCTCGGCTACCCATGGCAGTCCACTTTTGAATTTTCCTATATTGCTAACTCTCAGGCCTGACATTGGACTCACAAGGTCTTCCAGGTCGTCTTGCCCACGGGAGCCCCTATTCACCACGGCTAGCTTGTGTCGAGATGTCTTGGCCACAACCGTGTCCCAGTTGCGGGATCCAGGTGATCTTTCCGGTGTTTCCAGTGCTCCTGCCTTGTGAAAAAGATGCTCTTAAGGGTGATGAATGCGGCTTGTTTGCAAACTTAGTTGTGCTCTAGACACTTTTCCTAGGCTCCTGTTTGCCAACTGTTACCTTGGCTTTAGGAAGGTTCCAAAGTATTTGTAATTTAACTTTGGGTTCGCGAACTGCAATCCCCGATTGTCTTGTTACGCTTGGGAAATCGGGCATGTGAACTAGTGCACCATTGTCCGGGGTAATTTATATGCCCCCCCCCCCCTAGTGACGGTTTCTACGATTACGGCTCTGGACAGTAGCATATCCCTAGCATGCATGCTACCGAAGGTTACCAGTAGGGGACGTGGATGGAGTACCTTTTCTTCCTTCNCAATCCCACCCTGTGACACCTATCAGTGCTCGTTGCGGGAGCATTCCTGCTAGGCGAAGAACATCTTGCACATGCCTGCGATCTACCTCACGGCGAAAAAAACATCTCTGATCGTGGGCTGAGCGCAGTTATGGAGCAGTATGTTCTCGCCCGACCTATAATAGACTGACTGGTCTGCTTCATGGGCGTCAACTCCTTTTTCAGGCTTTTAACCTTAAGCCCAAAGCTTTCAAATCGATCCTCTCTATTGTTTTTGATGTTTCTTCTATCCTTTTTAGTTCAGGTAGGTTTTGGCATTTCTCTAGATAAGTATCAGGCACGTTAGGCTGTGCAGGCACCAATGCTTCCCCTTCCCCCCCCCTAACGGTCCTAAATGGCCCTTGAGAATGTGCGAGCATTCTGCGGCTAGTGCTATACAATGAGCACAAATCCACTTCAGGGATTTGTGCTTTGTGTACGGTTTGTATGCGTTCCTGGATAGCTTCACAGATCCTTGATGGTACCAGAGACGACAGCGATCGCACTAAATACCCTCAGCAGTATATTTACTGCATTTACTACACTGGTTTGCAACAGTTTAGCTGGACATTACCATGTGAATTGCAAATTTATACACCAAAGGTCTATTTCACACAATGAAAGGATAAAACTGGAAGCCAAAATGTTTCTCGGACAGCAAACAAGTAAAACCCTGCGAAAAGTAAAAGGACTTCAGTCCTTAAACCTGACTAAAAGAACTGTGAAGTGACATTTAAATGGCCACAACCTTAAAAACACCGCAGTTGAAACCAAAGCAATGGCACTGATACGGAATATCGTTAGATATTTCACTTAGCACTTGAAAACGGATTACAGCTAGGAGCACTTCCGAAATTCAAACCGCGCGACTGGTCTCGTTCTCGGAAGTCGGATAACCAGTGACAAACCGACCGAAGGAGGTTTCATAATCCTAAGGGTTAGATGTTCTAAGAAGTAATTATGCAGCTCTTAAGGTTCCGCCACAGATCCAATATCGTCGAATGCGCTGGTAAGCAACTGAGAACAAACCAGTTGACGTTTAGACGACGCGATATTCCATAACTTGAAGGATCTATTGTATGCTGACGGTTTGACCGGTGTTAGACTGTCATGCAGATACTTGCAGATACTCGTTTCAGAAATAGGACAGATTATCACGGTTCAAACACCGTCGTCTTCGCCCCATTAACCGCGTCTGAAATGCTATTCGTTCAATCCAGTTCAATTTTCCAGGACGTGGAGGCCTCAGTCTTATGGTTGTCCTGATTCTGGCTTGACCTGGTCGGCAGACCGATTGAGCTGTACATTTGTCCGTTTGACAGCACGAGAATGCGAGATTCGGATGTATTATTTGTCGCGCCTGTTTTCGCCAATGCTGGAAAAGAGAGGGAACATGGTGTCTTCTCGACGTGTCGGTGAGAAACTTACGCACACTTAAGCGTAAGCTTTTCGGCGTGTGCATGTTGTGCGTGCGCACGACGTTATGTCAAACGTGAGGGGTGGAGAGAAGAAAAGAAGGAGTGTATTTCTGTTATGTTTTAGGTCACTTTTGGAAAGGTATCGAGCCGTAATCGATCTAATTCCATTTTAAATATTTGCACTGTGTTTACTTGAACGAGTCTTTCGGGAAGGCAATTCCAGAGGTTGACCACCCTATTGGTGAAGAAATATTTCCTAACATCCAACCTGCTTCTGTTCTTTTCTAGAGGGTATTCGCGGCCCCTTAGTTCTCTCGTATATCTCAGTGGTATAAGACAGATCAGTGTTCTTCGTTTATCTGAATACTTTGATCAGGTCTTCTCTGAGACGTCTCCCAAGTAGGGGAGAGAGATTTACATGCCGAAGCCGGTCGTCGTTGCAGGGCCCTTTCGTTGTACTAACCATTCTGGCGACTAACCGTTTCACTTTCTAATCTGTCTACGCTCATTACTTGATAGGGAGCCTAAGCTTGGACGCCGTATTCTAGGTGAGGTCTTACGAGCGCCCCATACAGAGGGATAAATACATCGGTTTCTCTGCTGGTTATTGCAGCTCTGAGTGCAAACAGCGCTCTCCGGGCCATGTGGGCTGTTTCGGCACATTTTTCGCCGTTTAAAAGCTGGATGTGGCTGTTATCCCAAGGTATTTTACACACCTCTCTTGTTTTAGAGTATGTACTTCTTTATTCTTGAGCGTAAGCCGCAATGGGCGGGGGCTCCGAAGCATTTTTAATTAAGACACAACATTTAGTTGTGTTCAAAGNGGTTGATCCCACCGTACCGTTCACGCTGAAAGCCTAAGTCGTCTTGTATTGGGTCCCTTTAGGCTCCCTGGATGGGGACCCACAGATCATGGTCACCGGTGGTTAGAGAGCGATATGGCTGGGTGTGCAAACAGTGGCGCTCATGCATCTACTCATTATTCTTGTAACTTCAGTCCATAAAAATGTGCTACCTTTCGCTTAAATCTGCTNTCTCAACATTCTAATCATCATTCTTCTATTTTATCCAAATGGGCGACCAAAAGACAGCAACCAAAACCGGCGCACGAAAGTTTATGGTTAACGGTTGTAAGAACTGAACTGAACTGGGTGGAATAGGAGTGGTCCTGTGATTGACCCTTGGGGGACACTACTAGTCGCTTTTCCTTCGCAGGAGACTGGATCTAAATTTTGCCTGATATGTGCGCTCATGGAGTAGATGGGCTATCCATTTACATACTTAGGTTGAAGCCTCTGTACTCCCTGATTTATGCAGTAAGAGTATATGGTTGACGGAGTCGAATGCTTTTTGGAAATCGAGGTAGCACACTTCGACTGCTTCCCCTTAATCCGTGTGTTACTTCGTCTAAAAGGTTGGTCGAACAGGATAGACCCTTGAGGAATCTGTGCTGTGCTTTTGAAAAGAACTGCACGCTTGTTAGGTACTCTGCTTGTTTTNCTGCTCCATCACTTTACAAAAGAGGCTAGTCAAGGTAATTGGACGGTAGTTTCTCGTGAATGGGGGCTATCGTTGCCCTGCGCCAGTCGTGCGGTACTAAGCCTGTTGACATAGACATATTGAACAGTGATGTTAGGGGTTCGGCGATTACCGGTGCCAGCGGTTTTAAAATTTCTTGGTTTCAGGTTGTCTGGGCCTGCGATTTTCGTCGGGTTGAGTCCAGAGATCACAGACAGAACCTCATCGTGTTCTATGATCCAGCTAGGGCTGCATGGGACTGAAATATCCTTGTCTACGAATTTGTTTATAATCTTCCCTACTCGGAAGATTCCCTGGAAGTGGTCCTTGAATGCGTTTGCAATACACTGGTCTGTGTCCATGGCTGTTGTTCCTAAGCGGATAAGCGAGCCTATGGCCTTTCGGGATCTAGCTTGCGATTGGACGTAACTATAGAATTTTTTGGTTATGTTTTAATACCCATTGCCATTTTTATTTCATACTGACTTCGGGCAGATCTCGACACGCTGAGCGCTTCGTTTTCAAGTCTTGTGTACTGCCGCCAGTTAGCAAATGTTTCTAGCACGGTGTATCTGTTCCAGGCGCAGTTGCGTTTCCGTACCGCCTTGCGAACGTTGGCTGTGAACCAGGGCTTCAGCATTTACTTTTTAATTCTATCATCGAAGCGTGTCTGTCCGTCAGTTTAATTATATTTTGATTGATAACCTGCCATATTGACTCCGTGGTTGGCGTGCCACCGGTAACCCAAATGAGTTCATGGGTATCCCTTAGAAAGGTGTCTTGGTCGATTTTATTTATAGCCTAACTACCCTACTTCGTGGTGCGGGAACCTTCAACACCAGGTCGAACAGGATCACGATGTGATCACTCTTCCCTAGTGGATTCCTGCGGAGTAAATTTCGGACTTCGCTCCGCTTAATCAGTAGATCTAGGGTCGACGAGAATCGCCCTTCTCTGAATCTGGTCGATCACATGATGTGCTGATGGAGCCGACCTTTGTGCAGCAGTTCTAATAAGTGGTTTTCAAAACCAGGGTTCTCGTTAGTTTCAGTTTAACAATAT